ATTTTACGGTCTCGCAGCCGTGGTTATGAAGAACTATATCTTCTGGAATACAGAGCTGTGTAACCGGTTGAAAATTAACCAACGTTTCGGAGGAACGTGTCACTTCCTTCTTCACTGTTGATGAGTAGACCAAGCAGCAAACCAGCATGAAACGAACAAAAAGCAAATGACTTGTCTTACTCATCAACGCTCAAAATGGATACGGCTTGTTCTTCCAAAAGTCTGTTGATTTGTAACAGTCTACACGGCGTTATATCCCAGAAGGTAGAAATCTACACACAAGTTGCTTCCATGCAACGTTGTCAAACCGCTCTCTCAAGTCGACACTTGGTGTAATGTTCACCTCTCTTGCTTCGTGTTCGGGTGGTCCACACATAAAAATCGACCTCTTGAACAATGATTCTCAGTTTAAAATTACGTCTTTTCTTTAGAAACTGCAAGTGAATTGCCTATTGCCTTGATAGAATGATAACTCTCTAGGAATTGTATTAAGATTATTCTGGTTCGAAATTTTGTCGTGGTATCTGCTAATCTTTACTGAGGTCTTCCAGAACTTCTGTTGGCTCCCATTTCGAATGCGGGATGACACTTTCAAATACGCCACTATGGCCTACTTCCAAATTAATTTTTAAAATTTATGTTTCCTTCCGATCTCGTGTGACGCTTTACAGTCCGTGCAATTGAAATATTATCATTAATGATGTAAAAAGAACCAAATTCAATCGATCGACTCTCTAATCCCTTGAAGGATGACATAAAAGTCTGTTTCCACGCCTTGTGGACTTACGATTCGGAACCTTTCTACAGACTTATGTTGGGCTCTCTGTTGCTTTGTGATTCTTAGGAGTGTAAAAGGGAATGTAATTTTATAGTCCACATATTTCCTAAACGCGTTCTTCGCGCATTACCCATCGTCTTGTTCTTATCTAAGACACGTCCTGCCATTATTCAGAAACACAACATTTTCTAGACTGGATTCTGTCTCCGTCTTCAGGCAAAACATACTCAGTTGGGCCCAATCGATAGAACCAGTCCTTATCTTCCGGAGATAGGGGCTAGATTTATTGATTGGGCCCAAAGGGGTAGGTTTGACCTGAAGACGGAAACAGAATCCAGTCTCCGAAAGACTGTGTTTTTAAATCAAAAGGAACAGTGTTTTTGATGAAACAGGATAGTAGATGATGTCCAGAAATATAATACTTTTACTATATCATTTGTCTCGTCTTTATACGTCTCCCGTTAATTACCAGTGAATTAACTGATCTCCCTGGTTATGACTTCCCATCAGCATCACTGGAATATTTCCTTCCCTGCCCCGTGCTCAAGAAATGTATTTGAACTACAATGTTTCTCCACTTAATCTTACACTCCAATTGTAGAATCATTATAGATACGATAGGCCCCTTTTCCTTAATAAATTCGATATTGAAGCTGATTTTAACTACATGAGACTGATCGCTTCAAACTCTGAATAAGGAGGCAGCAACTTTCTCCGACACACTGATAACAAATTTTACAATTTCTAGCCTACTTTCCATATTTGGAAAAAAAAAAGTAGGCGTACGAGATCACTTTGCTGTTTGTGTGTGTATATCTGAGTGTGTATCCCTTCCTATCAACTTCTGAAAGTCTGAAACTCAGCCCATCTCTAGGTTGTACTTAATAAAATCCTCCCACCATTCTGTGTGTCGGTATATGCAGTCCCAATCGTTGCTAGGAAACGGCTCTGTAAACACGTTCCCATGCAACGAATACAAGAAACAATTGAAAAATTGTCGGACGTGTCATTTTCTACGCAGTCCGTGTTGTATCGTAGGAGGGTCTGTGGGTCTATCTGTGTATTTCCCTATTTTCGCTATGCAACGACTCTGTAAAAACGTTCCCGCGGCATTGTAAATTTGTTGGAGGAGTATTTTTAAATGATGCCCGTGTCGTGTCAAAGGAAAGTAGACCAACAGTTCTTCCCATAACTTCTTCTTACACGTTGCGATATCTACAAAACTCCGTGGCCTGTAGTCCGCAAGCGAACTATACCGACTGAGCGACCGCCGCTTGTCGGCGAAGTTAGTGCCAAGTTTAGCGGATAGAGGGTGTCACGTGGTCAGGGCAACGATTTCCCATGGTCGTTAATCTCGGGTTTCTAGACCGGAGCCGCTATTTAATTGCTCCTCAGTTATCCTCACGAGGCTGAGTGTACACCGTTCCAGACCCACTACTTCTCAGAAAATCTGGTAGCGACGGGAATCGAATACCTATAAGAATCTAGGTAACTAGTAACTAATCAAAGTTCAACGCTGCTTGTACGCCATTAGACGAGCTCCTCAACTGGATGATCTACTTTCCATTCTCGCAAGTTAGTTCTCTGGNTAGTAGTAGTAGAAGTAGTAGTAGTAGTAGTAGTAGTAGTAGTAGCCACTGCAGCACTATAGACGTGGGGCTAGTAACCCTGAGAATTTTAAATTTTAATATTTAATATTTGGAAAAAATTTAAAGGAGTTTTCTAAAATCGGAACTGAAGATTTTAAAAGTGCCAGTTCATGAATGTCAAAATCGACGTGTGTGGGTGACAAAGATGATGTACGAATCAGACAAATAGCAGCGAAGTAGATCCTGTTAGCCAATTGGGAAGACCTGTGTGTTTTTAATTTTAAACTGGGTGCAGTGTGACAGCTACGTGAGTGTATACACCTGATGATGGCCGTTTGCGGCCGAAACATGTAGTGTAGAAGGAGACAAAACGAAAGACCTACAGTAAATTGTTGCACTTAGGACGGAATTTATATCATATATAGTTCTCTGGAATTCTCCCGAGATTTATGAACATCGGTGGATTAAATGCCAATGTCCGTTATTTAGTAAGGAAATTGACAGAAGTTAGCAGCTCAGTAAGGGATATTAACATCTGCGTTTCACGAAACGTTGATTCAGTTGTATCCTACCGCATGAGACATTCCCACTTCGTAGTATTACATTACGCAAGTGTGACATTTCCAAGACGCGCGTAACGGCAGGCTTCTAGTTTCTTATTTGCACGGCATATGAATCGATAGTTTTAAGACGCAGCTCCTTTTTTAAGCAGCTGATCGATATATTCGATGCCCTTAACCAGATATTGTGCACTCACCTCCGTCGTTCTCAGTTAGACGCGTTCTGAGGGAGTTGCATCCACTGGAAGGTAAAGCAAGGGAAGTTCCAAGTTGATTATTAACTTCTCATTTACACTAAGATCTCCCAAGGACATTTTTTCGCGCTTTTCCAAACAAAATAATATTCGTCTTTATTCGTCTGTGGTCTAGTGGTCAGAATTCCTGCCTACATATCCAGAGTTCCCGTGTTCGATTCCTGGCGCTACCAAATTTTCTGAGAAGTAGTGGGTCTGGAACGGGATCCACTCAGCCTCGTGAAGATAATTCAGGAGCTATTTCAAGGAAACAGAGGCTCCGGTCTAGAATTCCGAAATTAACGGCCGTGGGGATTCGTTGCGCTGACCACGCGACACCCTCTATCCGCAAAAGATTTTGCCGATAAGCGGCGGTCGCTCGGTTGGTATAGTTCACTTGCGGACTAAAGACAGGAAGTTTGTTTTTGTTTTATTCTTTTTTATCCGCATCTTTCACAATTTCGCAATATTTCGATGGGGGGGGGGATTGTGTTAATTGGGAAAGACATCGAAGAAAGAAGGCATTTTTTTTTATTTCACACCAACGCGAAAGTCTCCCGTGTAATATTTTCCATGAGGTTTCCAGTCATAGCAGTACGTGAGCGTCACGTGACCCGGTCACATTACCCACGGTAATTATGAACACTGAATGAAGCATGACCTATTTAGCCATGGGCTCAGGGTAAATCTTCACTCATGTTCGTTCAGTTGCATACGAGTACAGGCGCTCTCTTGGAGTAGCTCTATCAGCTAACGGAATCTCAAGGTATATAGTTGCTATTCAAAATGTAACCTATCGTAAGAGAGCTCATTTATTTACAATAAATCTCTACAGAACACTTTTTAGTATTATATCACATTTTTATTTTTTATCTTAAAACTAACCAATTTCATGGAGTTCATACCTTCTTGAGAAAGTACCAGCCCTCAGCTACTGAAGAATGTCTCAAGATTTCAAGGAAATCGAACGCTCATTACCGTGTTCACAAGAGCCCGACACTGATCCAAATCCCGAGCCAGATGAATCCAATCCATACCATATCATCCTATTTTCCTAAGATCCATTTTAATATTAATCTTCTATGTACGTATTGGTCTTACTAGTGGTCTCTATTATTCTGGGTTTCCCTCCAAAAACATGTATGCATTTCACTTATAACCATGCGTGCTACATGCTTGCCCATAGCATTTGCTCTAACTTCATCATTCTAATATACTTGGTGATGAGTACAAGTTATGAAGCTCTTCGTTAAGATGTCTGCTCCAACTTCATCCCTCTTCTGACTGAACAATCTCCCCAGCATCCTGTTCTCAGATATCCTCTACGTCATTCCTTTAATGTCATAGACAAAGTTTCACAACCAGACAGAACTACAGGAAAAACTTTAGTTTTTCAATTTTTACATTTTTAGAGAGCAGCAGAAGAGAGGACAAATGTTCTGAACTGAATAATAGCAAGCCATACTTTAAAGTTCTCCGTAACCAATGCCCTTCTCTTTTGCCACCTTAAAGTATCCCTGATTTTATTACGCGTACCTCAGTAATAACAGAAGAACAGAAAAGCGCATGACCTAACAGAATAAAAACGTGGCGAGGTTGAAGGTAGTTGTTTTGACTAGCAAGTCTTCAGACAATCGGTTGGATCTGCTATTATCTCGTAACCTGTCTACAGTCACACCCTATCAAGCGCACAAAGTAAAAATTTCAGATTTGAATGCAGCTTCACTTGTCGTAGGATATTTAATGCTAACAAATTAAGTCTAACTAATCCTTTCTATCCTACGTACATATATCTCACTTAGAGAAAATCCCCTCCCTCACAGCCTTATTTGGTTTTTTCTTTTTGTTATCTGAGAAGGTCGCTGGAAGAAATCTCTTCCGCGATCTCTCAAAATCTAAAAATTGTCTATTGTTGGATTTTCATCAATAACATTTATACCTTACATATGAATATGATCAATATAGGATCACATTTTTAAAATGAAATCCAGCATTGAACCTGCAAGAAATGAATTGAGAGGCAGTAATAACGCATGTTATAAAAATATTACGTTATTTAAATTTGTTCAGTATAAAATTAATGTACATAATTGTTGACATTGCTTATGTTTATTCAGGATTCATTAACGACTTATAGGGTTTTATGCCACCTATTCAATTCGTTAGAAAGGGCGTATTTGTATTGTAGTAACTATGCAGTGTACAATGGAGTGTAAATGTGAAAGATGCAAATTTCAGTTCCAGTATTTCGAATTTACATTTCAAGAAATGAACGTGGTTGCAAATAGAGTCATGTTAATTGAATCCTATTGGTTGTAATTTTCATATCCCTCTTGTTTTGCGTATATACTATACAGTTTTTAATATTAATTATACTTAAGAACCCTCAGTTTGTAAGCACTGTGTGTGGTCGTTACACTTCTCTAATTATTCAGTTCCTTGTACAAATAAAGTGTAAAAGTTTTAAAAACTGACTTACGTGCTTCTCCTCTTAGTGTAAATTTCCAAAAGTTGTAACTACTCAAATAAACACTGATATATTTGTAGGCTCCTTTCATTTTATTCCATATGTTTTCTACATTTAAAGTATTCAAGAATTATGTATGTGAATTTTGTTATGTTATCTTCTCGCCCCTGCCCTGGAAGACCATTCTTTGTAGCAATAGAAAATAGCTGACATGTAGAATAAGAGGCAATCGATATATGTTGCCGCCCAAGTGATCGATCTTGCGGTTCATGGATGCAAACTGCTGCAGTTTTAATTAAGCACGCTACTGTTTAGTAAGTTGTTTTATATGCCGTGGCCAAAAGACTTGCTTGAAGAGCTGGACTGACTGGAAGACAAACTTTTGGTACCATGACCGCTACTCCCGGAAGAAGCGACGCTTGAAGAACTCGACTGACTGCCACTGCCTCCCAAGCCACCTCCACTGCTGCTGCTGCCGCTGCTCTGAGAAGAAGAAGAACTTCCGGAACCTCCCAATCCTCCTTCAGAATGACTTTCGCTTCTAGCGCTGCTGGAAGATTGGCTACCTCCAACTCCGCCGACAATTCCACCATGGCCTTTACCACCTAGTCCTGGTCCTCCTCCAATGCCTGGACTTACATCATGAATTCTACCACCCCCGATCCCTGGTCCTCCTCCAACGCCAAACCCTGGTTTTCCTCCTATTGCTCCAGCCTGGCTTCCAGCACTACTGGATGCTCCAGACTGGCTACCAGAACCTCCATGTCCGTGTCCGCCAAATGAGGAACTCCCAGAACTACTTGAGGCCTCAGACTTGCTGCCGCTGACTCCACCGAACCCAGGCCCTGCCACTACAGGCTGATGGCCACGATGATGATCTGGTGAACGCCGCAGTCTCAGAGCTTCGTCTTCCCCGTCCCAAGAGGGAACGGCATACACCAGTGGATAGGGCACGAACGGGTCTTGGACGAGGAGAGCTGTAAATAAAGTTACACTGTTTAGTCCAGCCCTCCTTGAAGCCTTCCCCATGGCGGCTTACTTCAGTACAGGACATCTCACGGCACGTCGAACCACATATTCCTGTGCCGTATTTGGGTCTGTGTCTGAACTGTTTTTATGATATTTCACCGGTTTTGACTAGAGCAATTCTGAAACATTCTTTGCATAAAGCGCATAATATTAAAGCAGACTAAAGCCTACCGTCCGCCCAAATGTTTCACAAGTGAAACTACTCAGTGGAATTCAATGGTGTTTCCTTGTGAATGTGCACACTAGAATAGGTTTAACGGATTTCATTTTGACCAAATCTGGATCATTACTTTATAGCAGTCACAAATTAAGCTTCATCAGATTTGTCAATTGCAGCTCATCTACAAATTATTAACATTCGACTTGCCGTGACCCATAAAGAATTTCATTTTGATATTTTTCTCGGTGGTAGCGTAGTTGGTTGAGGTACTATGCTACAAGCCGGAAGGTCGCCGGTTCGATTCGCAATGAGGTGAATTTTTTCAATTGACCTAATCCTTCAAGCCGCACTATGGACCTGGGGTTGACTCAGCCTCTAACAGGAACCTGCCTGGGGTAAAGGGTTGCCGGCACATAGGCCGACAATCTTACCGCCATCTGTGAGCTTATTGTCTAGAAAATGTGGAAGTCTCGAAGTCTCACAATCCTATGGGCCTTCACGGCCTGTTACAGGATAGCTTTATCTTTTATCTTTTTTATGTATATTTAATAAATTAGGAGAATCAATGCGACTCTGTACAATGCAGTATATATAGCATGCAACAATAGGTTAGCAAGATCAGTGTTAGTGACATATGCTGAACGATAATGAAGATATTTTGAAAATATGGCGTTACCCAGCTGGAGTACACTTCGTCTCTCTCCTTTGGAATGTTCATGGGAATTCATAAAAATATGAAATATTTTTAAAAGTACATTTTATGAAAGAGAAAATCTTTAAGACTCAAAGAATAAAATGTTAGGATGAAATTTGACTATTCCAAAAAAAGTGTAATATACAAAAAAAAACTGAGAAATTTTAAGAGTATCTAATCAGCAGATCATTTGTAAAAGAAAAAGTAGCATAGACTGAAAAAATAGCAGAAGGGGGCTGAACAATATCTCACTTTTATTACTACCCTCTGCCGATCGCAGTGGTCGCGCGGTCAAAGGCATGAACCGTCTTCGCTCACTAGGACACTGGAATCCTGGGTTCGAATCCCACTCATGGCATGGATGTATGTCTGCATTTATTCTCTGCCTGTGTAGGTATCGGCCTTGCGACGAGCTGATCCCTCGTCCAAGGAGCCCTACCGACTGTCTTACGATTAAGAAACTAAAGTGAAACAAAGCGTTTCAGGCACATCCCATGCTTCAAGGTGGAAGCAACAGGTGAAGGAGAGAAAGAGAGAGAGAGATTGCTAAACTCCGTAGAGAGTTTCTGAAATATACAACAGTAACCTTTAATATTAAACTCCATGATACACAAATTCTGGTTCAGTCAGCATAATAGAAATGCTACACTATTTTTAAACATTGCTGAAATGTTAATAGTACAGCATCTTCGAAAATTGTTTCACTGTTCGATACAACAATAAAGTAAAATATAAACTATTCTTCTCACGAAATAATCGTCCTATTCTCTGTTACGTTAACAATAAAAAGTACACTTGAATAATTTAATACGTGGTCTTATTATCAACCTATTTCATGTTATAGATTGAAAAGAAATATTTAATTAATAACTTGATATAATTAACAAAAAGTTAGCAGTTTCTCTTAATTAGACCTATAAAATGAACATTACGAAAGCTATGAATTTATATATGAGTTTCTTATATTTTCTTAGAACAAACGCCCTCTTCCTCTAAACAGTACTCATTAACTGATCTTTGTAATGGACACGCAGTGTGTATTTCATGAGATATGAACTGGACTTTCAAGTGTTATTTCGACAGATTTCAGGCTTTAAATAACTAACAAATATGCAGGAAAGTTTTCAAGAGTTAACTGACTAATTGACCGAGTGTCTAATTCCATGTGAGCAGAGAAGAATCCGCATGGTAAGGGACCCTTGGACCAAGTAATACAACGTTCCGAGAGTTAAAAATTATTAAGTTTGTGTAATAGAAGAGCAAATAGGATATTACCAAGGCTTGGCCGATGTCAAATTAATGGATCCATCTGCCTTTGTGAATTAATATAAATTGTGACAGAGTTTAAGTAAGGAAGTGAATATTTTGCAATAGATTTTGTTTAAATAAAAAACACTGAAGTGGGTGTAATTTAAATTCAAAATAATGGCAGAGCTAATAATATATTTGAGAAATTATTTAGAATTTTATTTATCCTATAATTAATAAAGTAAAACAATGTTTCCTTTCATGAAAATCGGCACAACATCCACTTGCATGAGGTGTTGAATTTCTCCTTTAATATTAAAAATGTGACTTAAATGGGGTCTAAAATCTGAGTAATGAAACTGGGGATTTCAACTGGGATGACGCACTTAGACAAACTGAGACGCCGAATCGTCTGCTTTTAGTTAGAGTCCTAAATGTAAGGAACTTTTAAAAACCGGACAAAGCTATAAGAATGCAGTTTGGAATAACGAGTGAAGACGAAGAATTAAAACTCAACAAAATTGATCAGCAAAAGTTTCAGTAATGCACTGAAGCTCTGCTTTTACATTTTCACCAATTTTTAATTGGGCGAGAGAATGATAGTTATCTTTAAACTTGGAAATATATTTTCAGTAGTCTTTCGGTTTAGTTCTCAGATTGTCATCCATAGACTTTAACCTATGGATATATGCGGATTTTAGGATGTTTTGAACCAATTTACAGTAATAATAAAATTTTCATAGCGGTATGCACCTTTAGATTTCTGTTGTCTTCTAAAGCACTGACTGTTATTCTTAATATAAAATTCTAACGAATCAGAAAACTGAAGTGGAAAAGCAGGATTCTTGGCTCTTACATAAGAAATTACTAAATTTATTGTTTCAGGCTGAAAGGAAGTAAAATTACAAACTGCAGAGTCAACAGCATTCATATTTGGGACAAAAGACCAATCAGAATGACGTAAAACTTTGTAAAGCAACAGGTAAAACCCTCGAGCATAGTTGCTGTATGGGTCAGGGAAATATGACGCCAGTCTAAAGTTACATCCAAATCAAGGACAAGTTGTGAATGGCAATGATGATGATGATGATGATGATGATGATGATGATGATGATGATGATGATGATGATAAAAAGCACAAAATACGAATAATTATTCTTACCAATTTATATTAAAGTTACTGAACTAGCTCACTGCGTGACTGATGCCATGACAGTGCGTGGTTTGATCTGAGAAGCTTGTAATTATCCGCTTCCCCCACAAATTATCCCTTCTGTTCTATAATTCAAAGATTCATCACTGTCATTAAATGTCTTTCTCTGAATAATTTTCTTCAGCCACAGTCATTCAGTTTATGTCTATATCCTTGAGACTGAACTTCCCTACTAAATATTTTGCAGTCCTCCTTGGTCTCGAGGTCACGGGTTAGAATCTTTGTGTGGGCACCAGCTACCCCGACAGATTTTCTCGAGACTTTCTTCGCTTTCTTCATGCAATATCTGACACGGTAACATGAAATAGGCCAAGACTACTTAATTTCATATCCTTCCTAATAAAGAATTTCTAATCAACTAACATTCAGCACAATAATAAGCATTTCGGAAAAGTCATTAGATACCACAAAGATTAGTCAATTATTTGATCTCTAATGTGGATTTTAGTATTATACTCTTAGATATAGCCACCAAAATCTTTGCTTTCCATCATGATGTATTTTTCGAATGAAACAATAGCAGCTACACAATAAACATGCCTGCAGGGCTTACGCCAGCACGACTTACTAGTTTCTTAGTTACACAAGGATAAAAAATGGATATTGTTTACTACAATTAGCTTGTAACCTGTTTCAATTATCTATTTATTAAAAAACGAACATTTAGAAGTTTGTAATTATTTAAATATATAAGTCACTGAAACTGTTAGTTCAGGATTTTATTCGGGACAAATTTCGTCAGGAACACAGGTTTTCTGACTGAGGATTTCGTGGTTTTTCTCAGTTCACGCGAAACAGGCCACGACCGCTTCCATCTACATTATTTCTAATTCCCATTCATTAACTTTGTCCCATTTAATGTTTACATCGTCGTTAAATAAGATAAACAAATAAGGAAAACTTTACTTGGTGTCCACTTGATTCACAATAAGACACCCATAATCACTGAACAATTAAATGAAGTTTATCTATTTCCTTTTTGCGACGTCAGAAGAGGTCCAAGTTTGATTAAAATATGTGATATTTTTATACCACTGCTGACTTTAAATGTTCTTCATGCTTGTCAAATACCTTGAAACGTGGCCGACTCTCCGAATGTCACAAAGGCAGAGAGAGCACAGAAGAGAGCGGCAAAAAGCTGCATGGTTCCAGAAATTCTTGGACTTCGATCCCTCTACCAACACTCCAGTCTCGCGTCTGCTGTCGAGCGTCGCCTCTCGATTTCGTTTTATACCCTTACATCTCCCTGGGGATTTCTGTCGCTCTTGTTCGCTAAATTAGCGATGCTCTCAGTTCTTGCACCTTTATCCGTCACTGTGCCCCCCCGCTCTCTCCTGCCAACCGTGATAAATAGTTTGGCCTTGTCCTTCATCACGTAATGTTTGTGTATAATCATGCGAGCAACATAACATTAAACGGGCATTCAAACCTTATGACAAAAATCACACAATGGCATATTGAAAAACAAGATTTGGTACTTAAATACGAAAATTAAGCTAAAATACTACGAATTTTAACCTAAGACAGCAAGGGATTTTTAACTCTCATATATAATTTTTACGAGTAGTTCTAATGAGTGTATTATATATTTTTAGTATTGTGGCGTGCAGGTCCCTTGTTAAGCAGTGACCCTGTAAACAGCGGCCGTTACATGCACTCACCAATAGAAGAACGGTATTTTCTGTGTGGTCCGCGTCGCGCCCGTTGCTATGGAATGGTGCGATAAACACTCCTCTATAACAATAGAAGGCGTGTGTTTTCTGCGCTGTAATGCCGAGGAGTTATTTTGAAGACAATTGGCGCTAGATTTCAGTGGAGAATTCAGATTTGGAGTATTAACCACAGGGCAATGGCGTTACCACGGAAGCTGAAGGATCTCCGTTGTTAAGATTCGTTACCAGGAAACGTCAAGTGAAAATATTGCAAAGGAATAGCCATTGCTGAGAGCTAGAGAGCTATTACCAAGCAACGACTAGTGAAAGCAGACTGAGAAGACAGCGTGGATTGATCTGTAGTGTGGAAATCAGCAATAGTACTGTATTTATTTGTAGTTACGACCTGTAAGTGGTCAATAAATCTAATTACCAATCTGTACTCCATATATACGTGGTGTATCAAAAAGTTCCTGAAATTTGAAATTTGCGCGCGAAAGGTTATGACCACATCGAAATGCCGCTAGGTGTCTCCCCACACGCCCTTCTTGAATCAGTGTGGCAAGCGGCGTCGAGTTGAGTGGTTGGGTTTATTGTTGGTGAACGTATTTCCATTGTTGTTTCCGTGAGTTTGCGGTTTTGCGATGGCTGACCTGAGAGAGCTGCGTGTCTGTATGAAGTTTTGTTTTAAACTTGGGAAAACCGCTGCAGAAACGCGCCAAATGTTGAAGCAAGCTTTTGGTGACAAGAGTTTAGACCAGAANGACACAAACTAACGACTGGCATAAGCGTTTCAAGCGAACATCGACTGATGTTGACGACGTTCGGGACGGCCGTCAACTGGCACCACACCAGAAAATGTC